TGTCGCCCTCGAGTGCGCCAGGTTACAGCCCCTCTTTCGGCTTCTCCAGAACCTCTTGTTGAGGTTCTGGCTGCACTTCTCCCTTCACCTGTTAATTAACGCGCACCCCATCCATGGCCCCACAAAGTCACGGGACCTCCTAGTCAACCTCCTCCTGGCTATTGCCAAGATGGTAATTTATAAGACCAGGGAGCAGAGGTTGGCTGAGGGAGGGGCCTGCGACTGTGGGGCCTATTTCTGTTCTTGTATCTGCTCACGTATCCGGGCAGAGTTGCACTGGGAGGTGTCTGATGGCTCTCTCAAGACCTTCGAGGGGCAGTGGGCGCTGTCCGGGGTTCTCTACTCAGTGTCCCCATCCGGTTCCCTTGTTTTAGCCCTTTGACTCTTACACCCATCCCTGTTTTTTTCTTTATTTGTCCCAAGTAATTACTTGGTTCTCTAGGCTCAGTGGACCCTCCCCATAGGATGAGGGGAGGTCCTTTAGATGTGGACAGGCTAACGCCCTCCTTCTTCCCAGGCTCCAATAGGCAGGGCAGAGGAAACCCCCTGCCAGTGACTGCATGAACCACCTCCTCTTCCCATTCTTCATTGAGATAGCTCCCTGTGGTAATTATACCAACAGATTGCATGGAGAAGCAATCATGGGAAACGCTCTGATCTGTATTATGCAGCTTTAATAAGTTTTGTCCCTTCTGTGTACAAAGGCACCACACATGAATGGTTGCTCATCATTTCTTCTCTCTCCACCCCCTTCCTCTCCACCTTACTGTCCATACTTCTCCATGACAAGGTGCCTTTACTCCTCTCCCCAGCCACATACTACTCTACCACTTCTCCTCTGCTTCCCTGGACAGACTGCTCAACCGTCTGGTCCTTTTGTCCCTCTGCATCTTGGGATAGCCTACTGAGCTGTCTCACTGCCTCTATCAGTGGACTTCACTTTCTCTTTCTCTTTGGCTGACACCTTTCCTTCTCCTCATTTGTAATGGTGGACCTCGGAGAGCCAGTTAAGCTGATCTCACATCCTTCTTCCCAGCTCTTACACATCACCAGGCTCTTATTTGCAGTAAAGGATCTGGAGGCCTGTAGAAGGAGCAGGTAGCAGGGAAAAGGAACAAGAATTATGTGACCAGCCAGTCCTCCAGCAATAGGCATGGTTTGAGGATGTTTTATCATTGCTAATCCTTGTAGCATTCCATGTGAGGTAGCTGCATTTTAGTAATACCCTTTTACACAATGGTTAGCATGCTTCTGCAAAGATTAAGAGAATTGACCAAATGACACTGCTGGTAGTGGCAGAGCCTATGGGAGAATTCAGAGTCATATCTACCCATTTCCAAAATAACCTAATGGTTGCTAATGCCTTGATATAACTTAGATATTACTTAGTATAGAAGCCTGAGAGAAACCCCATCCATTTTGTTCCCAGTCCTGCTAAAGGGTTACTTTGAGCACTTTCTTGACAATCATTTACCATATTACAAGAATGTTACACTTTAATGCCAGGTGACTGTAAAATTATAATCAGTGGAAACTTCTCCCCAGTAATTTAACGTGCTTACTAACAGCAATCACACAGCTCAGATATCCCCAGATCTTAGGTTTCCAAACTGCATATGAAGAGTAAAGCTTTGATTGGGAACTCTCTGACAGTAATACATACATTAAAGTGCTTACATTGTTTAGGCTTCAGCCTCTCATATGTTACACACAGATCTGACCTCTGCTTCTAAACATCAGTAAAGGTTCATAGTTATAAATAAACCTTTCAACATAAAGTGGCTGGAAATAAAACTACTTGAGTGATGAAACGAAAGTCAGTAGCTTTTATGGGAATTCTGAGCTGATGAAAAAAAATCATCCCAAACACTAATAAACTGAAAACCAGGGAACTCATCATAATATTGATAACAACACCCCATTTGCATAAAGATATTCAACAGATAAATTACATTACCTGTTCCACCAATTTCATTGGTTGTCCATATAGTCAACGTATTAAACTTAAAAATATCATAGTCAAAGAACTGGGAAGGAGGCAACATATTTGCTCTGTGGAGGTTGGGGGAGGATGCTGTATTACCGCTCTTGACCTTGCAGTTTAAAATACAGAAACAAACAAGGAATTTAGCAAAATGGAAGAATAGGAGGCTTCATTACCAGCTCCCTTATGGGATTTTAAATGCAGTTCATAGCATCTTTTGTTTTAAAAAGACAAAAGCAGCAATCAGTGCATAATTTACTATACCTGAAATAATGATGATCGAATGCCACTTCACTGACATTTTTCACTTCTAAAAAGCTTGCTGTTACAAAGATACTCTCTCTCTGTCTCTCTCTCTCACACACACACACACACACACATACACACACACACACTTTAATATTAAAATTTCCTGCACCAGGAAAAGAATAGTTTTCTCTTACAGAATTTTCACTGCATATGTAAAGTAGTGAGCAGTATCTCACATATTTAGACTCATGTGAGTCCAAGACCCTGGCTTCTTGGACTGTTTGCATGGCTGTTCCCTGATATAGGCCCAAAATTTGTTGTTTCTTGGGAGAACTGGAAACATTCAAGTTTTTTTTTAAAACAATCCTTATCCAACTGCCGCATTCCAACCCTTTAGAAGCTTCAAAGGATAAGTGCCATACGAACACTTGAGTCAAATTCATGCATTTTGCTTGGCATTCCTAAAATGAAATCCTTTTGATTTTACTTCAAGATAAGCCATTTAAACACACTCATAAGGCCCAATCTTGAAGTCTTTACTCAACCCTTAGTTAAGAATCATTTCTACATACACAGAGACTTGATTATCAGCAGAAACTGAACCTGGGAACACCAGTATCAAGAAAAGAGGCCTCACCTACTCGACCTAGGGGAGAACTCCTTTAGCTGTAAGGGCTTATCTACATGGGGAAAGTGACTGGAATAACTACTGTGGAATAGCTACCCATGTGGACACATTTATTCTACAATAAGAGTGTTCCCATAGGGAACTAGACAGAACAGATTATTCTGCAACAGCTCTTCTAGTCAACTTTTTTGTGTTGACAAGTCCTGAGTAGCATGGTGTTACTGTCACCAGTTGCTAGAATAGTAATGGGCAACATAGGTTACCTAGTGGGCTGCAATGATTGGCTCTCCATCTCAGCGAGCCACAAGACTGTCATAATCAAGATGGTCTCTCAGGACTGAGTAATTCTGCTAACTGCGCTTGCATATGTAGAATCTGTGAAGCTGGGTCAACTGAACTGTAGCAGTGCTTTGATTGGATGCAGAAGGAGAACATGGTTCTCTCAGTCAAAGTTGTGTGCAATCAGCACACACCTCACTTCATATGCCCTTGGTTAGTGTGCGTATCACTTTAGTAATACTCGTAGAAAAAAATGATGTGGATGGAAACCATCAGAATCTGGCAACTCTGCACATGTGGGCAACAATAAACAAAATGTTTCACGGGCTTCTCATAGAACCCTGATGGCCTGCCACTGTGCTAGAGGAAAACATGTTACTTGGTGCCCTGAGTACCAACTCCAAAGCACCTGGCTCCCAGCCTGTGCTTACCTTCCCAGCTCCAGCTGAGAGTCT